ATTCTGTGATTCTATGATTCCCCTTGCCCCAAACTCCTGCAGTGTTCAAGTGCTTCAGGGGCCTTACAGAACCTAGGAAGTCGGACACCTCAACAACTGAATCACTGAGAAACCCCTGGACTGGACACAGTTGCAGTGGAAAAAAGGTCTGGGCACAGCACCCAGAGTTTCCAGACGACAGCCCCAGTCACTAGGCCAACACTGACCTGAGAACTGGGAGTGCTCGATGCTAGACCAGTTCAGCCGGTTCACCATCTTGAAGCTTTCCTTCAGGGAATCGATGTTGGAGCACCAATCAGGGGGAAATGCTGCAATGAAATGGGGACAGGATTATTCCAATACGGACCACCCTCTCCCTCCACTTCTTAATATAAAATGCTTGACCCCTCTTCACCGAAGAGCATTATGCTACAGTAGCTAGAAATCCTTTCTCCCTTGGAAGACCAGGGATGGGGCCTCCTTTTTCATTTAGCCCCTGACTTTATCCCGCATTCCTAAACAGAATCCCAAACCCAGTGTGGATGTATCCTCCTTCTTTCAGTAAGGAAGCAATTTCAGCCATGACTGGCTTCCACCCTTTCTCCACACACAATGTGAAGACCACTTAGGGAAAGCTTGCTTACGGAATTTCTGTTCAAGGGCTCCTCCCTGTTCCCTTTTCCCCAGATGTTCTTTCCATCACCCGGACTCACCGAAGCCAGCACTGTTGAGTGAAGCCTGTGACTGCTGCTGCTGGTGCTGATGTGGCTGCTGCTGGGGGTGGGAATGCGGGTGATGCTGCTGGTGCTGGTGGTAGCCCCCATGCTGCATTGGGGGGGGGTGCATGGACATCACCGGTGGAGGGCCGTAACCCTCACCACCCTGCTGCTTTCCCCCTTGGGATGGGCACCCCTCGGGGGTTGGAGTGTGCAGTGGGGGAGCAGCACCCACTGACGAAGGGCCTTGCTGTTGCTGGTACATGTAGTAGTTGTGGTTGGACGGCTGCATATCGCCAAGGAGAGAAGAGAAACCTGCCGAGCAAAAGGAAGAGCAGGGACCTTTAAGAGCTGCCTGGATCAGATCTCTGCTTAAGTTATCCATCTTTAATTTCAGACTGCTCGTTCTGCTATTTATGAAGCTTTCAGAGCGCGCTCTGCAGGCTGCCGACAACTATCACGAAGCTGGAGGGCCACGGAGATGCTCCGAGGGCTGGAGCCCCTCTGCCATGGGGACAGGCTGGGAGAGGTGGGGGGGTTCAGCCTGGAGAAGAGAAGGCTCCGGGGAGACCTTATAGCACCTTCCAGTGCCTGAAGGGGCTGCAGGGAAGCTGGGGGGGACTTTTTACAAGGGCCTGTAGTGACAGGACAAGGGGCAACGGGTACAAATTGAGAACAGGGAGGTTTAGATTAGATATCAGGAAGAAATTCTTCCTGGAGAGGGTGGGGCGGCACTGGGACAGGTTGCCCAGAGAAGCTGTAGATGCCCCATCCCTGGAAGTGTCCAAGGCCAGGCTGGATGAGGCTTGGAGCAACCTGGTCTAGTGGAAGGTGTCCCTGCCCATGGCAGGGGGGTTGGAACTAGATGATCTTTAAGGCCCCTTCCAACCCAACCCATTCCATGATTCTGTGATTCTATGATCACCTGCACACTTATGCCCTCACTGTGCTCCAAATTCTGCTCAAAACGAAAGGCTCTGTGACAAAGCCCCTGCAGGATTTAAACTTCTAGTGCAGAGTAAGGCATTTCAATTCCTCCCTGGATTTTTCCAGTATTCCCCAAAGTAACCCATGCTCTCCTGTTTTCTGAGAAATGACTCTTAAGCAAACTTAAGAAAAACATCTGGAAAACAGACAACTTGATAAATCTGACTTGCTGTTTCCGAAAGCTCCCTTCAGTTCCCATCTTACAAGCAGCTTGGTCAGGAACATTCCCAGTTTTCCCCACACAGACCAAGAGATGCCACACATTCTGCTGCTTTTGTACACACAGCACGTGGCATGCATCAGGGCTCCTTTACTACTGTCACCCCTCCGGACATATCGGGTGTGTTATTTCTCTGCTTTTCTATTTCAGGCATCCTCTACATGCAAGAGCATGAGGTCTTCTCCATTCCTCCCCACATCAGGTGCTCAGCACCTCTCCTGTCTGCTTCCCTGGTTCATTCTCCCCTTAGGTTGTGGAACCTCTGGGGGTAAAAAAAAAAAAAAAACAGGGTGAAGGGCATTGCATGCCCCCAACCTGAGCGAGTAATTTCTTACTTTGGGTGCCCTTACCTGACCAACTGCACGCAAGCCTGCCTTTTCACTGGATCCAAAATCAACCCTTAAGAGCGTCCCACTACTACTGCGATAGGGCAAAAGGATGAACAGAGAGGGTGGGGAGGCACTGGGACAGGTTGCCCAGAGAAGCTGTGGATGGCCCATCCCTGGAAGTGTCCAAGGCCAGGCTGGATGAGGCTTGGAGCAACCTGGTCTAGTGGAAGGTGTCCCTGCCCATGGCAGGGGGGTTGGAACTAGATGATCTTTAAGGTCCCTTCCAACCCAAACCATTCTGTGATTCTATGATTCTAACAGGGCCATTCTGCCTCAAGCTGCCCGCAAAATTTCCTCAGAACCCGCAAGTTTTCCCGAACTATCTTACAACAGAAGACGTGGGACACACACACACAAGCCAGACTGCTGCTAAGCCTTTACAAACAGGAGACACACACCGAATCAAGGCTCTTCTCTACGTTTTTGCAGCTTGCTCATTGTACAACACCTCGCACAACAGGCTCCTACTAGGAATGTGAAGTGCCAGCTGATGAAAGCAGTAGAAGTACCGTATTTTTATTTCACTGAAGCTACAAGTTCAGGAGGCTCCTCCCCGAGTAGCAAACTTTGCCTGCGCTGCGTGACGGCTGACAGCACCGCTGGCAGGCTCATCTTGCAACACCTTCCTCTCTACACCAGGCTAATATTTAGAACTGTTCAAAGGCGGGAACAACTGGAGATTGTTCCGGGTGTTTCCGCCGACATCCCCTCACATCCCTACAGCGATCCTGCCCTCTGGTGGCTGCTTCCTCAACCCCAGAAAAGCAAGCGAAGGTGTAGGGGGCTCTCTGCCACAAAGCTCAGCTCTCCAAGGCCTTGTACAATCCTGGTTTTAACAGATCTGAGCCATGATGACTTCCCACTCTCCTGCAGAAACTCCACGTGCAACAATCCCTCTTACAGTTTCTAGCCTAACAGGCTGCGAGTACTTCTCCAACATGCTTCTCTTCAGGACTTCGTTTCTCTAAGCTGCTGCCATTTTGGTGTTCGCTTTTGTATCAACACGAGGTATTTTTAAATCATTACCCTCTTTATTCTAAGAGAACTAGAGGGAGCAATAAAAGACATGCAGATTTCAGATCTGCTCCTGGCAGAACTAATTAGAGCATGCCAAAGAAGGAAAGACTGTTTGCACAGGCTCCTAAATGAGGAAAGATCTGAGAGATACCAAGGATAGCTCAGTGGACAAGACTGTGTGGGCAGATACCTGCCCACCCTACATGACGCATCTAGTTACTCACCGTGCTGAGAGGAAGATGATTTCTCCAGCATGGATTTGTAGAGATTTCTGAAGGACCAGCTAAGATCCTGGAAGTTGATCTCAGAGTAGGAGAACTTGAAGTCGTGGTTGGCACTGTACAGCGGAGGCGGCACATCGGCCCCTTCGCGGCCCTGTCCCCCTGCTACAGTAGAGGCAGCATCCACAGGCCCTGCACCCTGCTAAGGAAGGTAGAAAAGTAAGGCCTTTAGTTTGTACCAAGTTCTGTAACTTCAGACAGGGATCCAGAGACTAGATACAGGTAGAATGATATCCCATGCCCAACAAATATTCACAAACGCCATCTTCCTTGAGGAAAATCAACCACCACCCTCCCTCTGCAGCGCACGGGCTCCAGCCTTTTCTTCAGCTATCTGATACCACTATGCCTTTATCCTTATCCCCACCTGGCCCTTTGTTAAAATTAACTTCCTCTGTTATTTAATTTAATCCTTATTTTCTGTCTCTGCAATTTCAGCTTCTTCCCTTCTTTTTATTTTTGCCTCTACATCATCATTTTCACGATTCCCGCTCTTCTCACCACTCTGCTTTTCCATTCACACACCCTCTCCTTTTTCCCACTGCTCACCTGACTGTAGTTGGCAATGGGGGTGGTACTCTGGAGCGACAGCTGAGGGGTGGCCTCAGGTGGCAAAGAGGCTTCTGTGCTGACTGGAACAGATCCTCGAGGGCTTTTACTTGCCTCTTGCTCTGGGGAGTCTTGTGGTATCTGTGGATGGGGAAGAAAGAGAAAAGGAAAGGAGCAGCAATCAAACACAGATGAAGAAGTGAAATTGCAGATGGGAAGCCAGCTTCCCCACAGCAGAAGTTCACGGCTTAGAAAAGAGGAGGGCTGGGCCTCAGTGACTGAAGAGTCGGGACAAAGGACTTGAAACAAGGTTAACTTTGCTACTGAAGAGCAGCAGCAACAGTCCACCAGCAGGACACACATGCTAGTTCATTCAGTCTTAGCCTTTGCCTCCCCATCCGTACACCCTGCCCACGAAACGACAGCACGGGCCTGTGCTGGAAGGAGTCCTTGGAACAAGAAGGGAATTCCCCCTCCCGTTCCATACTGTCTGGAAAGAAGAACACTCACGTCATCATCTGGAGGGTGCCGCCTCTTGCGAGATATATCTGGACATGTATCTATTGTCCAATACGAGCCCTGTAAAGAAGACCCACTGGTGAATGCAGGATTAAATCAGAGAGCTTCCTGAAGCAGGGGGTTACTGACTTGAGGAATGCAGCACCAACCAAACATTAGGGCCACAAGGACCACCCTTCCGAACGTCAGACAACCAAGCCTTGGAAAGAGATTCCTCTCTTGCGCTGAGCTGCACTGAACAGTGAGGTACGATGCTACTGGTGGAAGGCAGAATGCTCTACATTTCACAGAATCATAGAATCA